AAAATAAGTTACTATTACACAAGGTTACATTACAAAATTATCATACACAAAAAGGAGCAGAATATACCACTAGCCGAGAACAAAAATATAGGAGAAAATGTAAAAAAAACAAAAGTAAGTTTATGTACATACTTACAAGGTAGATATCTATCTATGTACAGCACTGTGCAAAGGTTTAAGGTAGGTGTGGGAAAAAATGCTGTAAAGAAAACCTTAAAAAATTATTTACATGTTAATAGATTATATTTATCAAATAACAAAATGCAAAGTAAGTGAACAAAAATTTGGTTTGACCACCCTTTGCTTTCAAAACAGCACAAATTTGTCTAGGTACACTTGCACCTACTTTTTGAAAGAACTCTGCAGGTAGGTTGGTAATCCTAGACTCAATGATGTTGAGATCAGGGCTCTGTGGGGCCACACAATCACTTTCCGGACTCATTGTCCTCCTTTATGCTGAAAGGAGTTCTTCATGACTTAATGTTTGGGGTCACTGTCATGCTGCAGAATAAATCCGATGCCTCACTGATGGTTTTGCATGATGGACTAGTATCTGTACTTCTCAGCATTGAAAAGACGTTAATTCTGACCAAATCCCCAACTATGTTTGCACAAATAGAGCCCCATACTTGCAAGGAACATCCACCATGCTTCACTGTTACCTGCAGACAGTCATTCTTTAACTGCTGTTTGGCAAACAAACTGCTTTCTGCTGCAGCCAAATATTTTTGATTTTGACTTTGACCAGAGCACCTGCTGCCATTTCTCTGCACCCCAGTTCCTGTGTTTTCACCTATAGTTGAGTCGCTTGGCCTTCAGCATAAGTTATAGCTTTTTGGCGGCAAGTTTTCCATGAAGGCCACTCCTGATTAGGCTTCTCCATACAGTAGATCTGTGACCCGGGGCCCGCTGTTGAGAACTGCCAGTTCTAAGCTGATGGCACTGCTGGACATCTTCAGTTATAAGGGAAGTAAGCATGATGTGTCTTCCATCTGTGGAAGTAAGTTTCTTTGGCTAACAACTGTGTATACAGTCCTTAATGTTGCCTGTTTCTTTTTGCTTTGAAACAGCTTGAACAGCACATCTGGAAACCCCTGTCTTCTGACGCAGTATACCTACCTTGTATGGCTTTTGACAGTAAACTGTCTTCAGCAACCTTGTTCGGCTGTTCCTCATCCAGTTGTTCAGCTATTTCAGTCAATGATTAGGTTTCAACCTACATATTGATTATCATTAGCACCTGATTGGTATAATAGTTTAATCTTACACCCGATGACATGCCTACAAAATCCTTGACTTTGTGCAAGTGTACCTAGAAGAATTGATGCCGTTGAGATTTTTCTTCTGTTCACTCACTTAGCATTTTGTTAATTGATTAATGTAATCTATTAACATGACTAATTTTGAAAGCATTCTTTACAGCATTTTTTTCCACACCTACCTAAAACTCTTGCACATTGTGAACACAGAGATCTCTATTTCCCTCTTTTTTACTCACGTCTTCAATTGATTCGAAGTATCCCACCAACATTCAAAAATGAAATTATGTTCTTGATTCTTTTTAATATCCTTTGAGAAAATTTCAAACGTTCAGTGTTTACTTGTTTTTTTTGTAGCTTTAAATATATATGCTTTCCCCATCATAATGATTATGTTGTTAAGGTCTTTTCTTTCTTCATCATCCTTTAAATCACCAAACATGGTTAAAGGGCAACTATAAAGATGTTAAACTTCTACTATTATTATTATAGCACACGCAGTTTCAAAAATGCAGTTACAAAGTGCTTTACATTGGAAAATCAAGATAAAACAGTTGAGAACTTTTTTAGAAAGGGGTGAAATAAAAATACAGAACAGATAAAACAACAAAAAAGTGAAACAGATGACATTAATAAAAGGCTTTTTAAAAAAATAGAAGAAAGATTAAAATTTAAATGATTTGGAAGATGTTACTGAGTGGATCAGTCTCAAATCAACGCCCATTGACTCACTTTTAAAAAATTTAATCTTGAGTGGCCAGCTGTTAGTCCAACACCATTGATCTGTGGAAGCAAGAAGTTATGTCAAAGTGTCAAATCAACCAACTTCAGTTGTCATGATGTTGCTTTGTTGAGGGCTGATACCCGGAGCAATCTGTTGGTCAAGTTGAGGACAGAAGCAGGAACATTCTTCAATACAAAGCAGATTAACCACTGACCCACCACATGATCCAGGCCAAGCAGACCTGTACAAGCACACAGGTTCCTGTCCTATTAGCCAAATACTATCCACCTGTGTGAACTGATAGAAAGTTCTCATTCAGACAAAAACTTTTTAACTTCAACTGTTTGCAAGAGTTGCTTAACATCATGATGTGTGTTCATCAGTGGTGGAAAGTAAATAAGTACATTTTACTCAAGTACGGTTCTTTTAAATTTTGAAAATTAGGTACTTAACTTGAGTATTTCCATTTTGTGCAACTTTCATACTTCTATTCCACTAAAACTCAAGAGGGAAATGTACTTTTATATTTAAGCACTGTGGTATCGCTACTTTTACTAAAGTACAAGACTCGAGTACTTCTTCCACCTCTGGTATGCATGTTTAAATTATGAGAGAGCACCATTTAAAAACTCAGCTTTAGTTACTTAAAGATAAATTTTTTCATACCCTTCCTGTCCAGTAAAAACAATTAATATTAAAATTTGGTGACTTTGAATTTCAGTTTTTCTGATAAACTGAAGATCGAAGTGTTCATTTATGGGTTGAAATTTTTTCTTCTTAACATAAATAACCCCCCTTTTGGATAAGGTGGAAAATGCAACTTCCAAAGCTGAAAACAGGGCTGTTTTAGAGTGGTTCTTACAGGGCAGCAACGCTACAAATATGATGATCTTGTAGAATATGATGCATTGCTGTAGATTAAACTACCCAGCATTATATAAGGTAGTTGAAAGGAGCTTAACCTTAAATGTCTACAGCAGTAAAATGCAACATGCACATTAATGCAGCAGTGATTAGTATTAATCATACTACATATATTTATAATGCAATAGTATAGCAGGGACCATTTTCTGCATAAAGAGTACTTGTTATCACTGTATGGTATTGCTACTTTTACTTGAGTAACCACCACTGAAAACAACACTACCAGAGAATAAGTTCAATAAGTTCTAAATGGCTCTGTCCAATGAAAATGTTGAATGCACAGACCTATATATTGAGTAAACTAAACAACCACTATACCAACACATGGCTCAACACAAAAAGAACCTGCTCCTCAGGCTAAGACTCAGCGATTTACCTATATTTGACGGATAAGAGACACTCTTTTGATGACAACAATTCACATATTCTGGATAGGAAGGACAGATGGAAGAGGAGTGAAGGAAGCCATCTACACCAAAGTAGAGAAACCATCTCTCAACAGGGGAGGAGGTCTACGACACCACTTACAATGCTGTCTTTTCATCTCTTCCCAGGAGATTAAACATTTGGCCTCATGTGACAATGCCACCCAGGGTTGTTCAGGCTTGGCCTCAAGTGATCCTATGACCATAACGACTGTTGTTACAACAGCCAGGAGCACTAACGAACCAGGTAGTATCCATCACCTTGATAATGACTGCACTGAGGTCAAAAGCCGAGGACTTCCTGCCAGATAGTATCGTGGATGAGAGGTGAAAAAGTATCTTCATCCAAGTCCAGATGCCCATGATTTTAACCCACCATTTAGCTAAATTTCTAGCTAAATGTACAGTTTGCAAAGCATGCCGGCGTACTTAGTGACAACAATATGCGAAAGACAAATAAATAGGACATGCATTAATTGCTACAGCAATCACATGAGTAAAGAAGAAAAGAAAGAACATGAGTGTGTTTTCACTAAATAGAGCATAAAATACTTAAACAATAAGTACTGACTAGTGGTGGAATATAACTCAGTACATTTACTCAGGTCTGTACTGTGCTAAAGATTTTAGGTGCTTTACTTCAGTCTTCTTTTCATGCTTTCTTCTACTCCACTACATTTCAGAGAGAAATGTTGTACTTACTACTACTTACTAAAATACAATGCTTTGTTATAAATTAAATTAGCCAACAGTTTAGAAGTACAGCTGAATTAATTGACTAATTAAATGACAAAAAATAATTAGCCCCATTTTGGGAAATCAGTTGTCATTTAAAAACATTTGATGGTTCCAGCTTCACACGTGAGCATTTGCTGCTTTTCCTTTTAATTATTTTTATTTAATTATTTTTGAGCTTTGAACTGTTGGTTGAACCAAACCAGCATTGTGAAAGTTGCCTATCTCTCTTTGTGCTCTGGGTCATTGTGATGACAGGTCTCACTATTTTGTGTGGAGGCTCATTCTCATCTCTGTTTGGGATTGTTTATGCTCTGAAGAAACTCAATATTTATTCTGTCTGTTACTCCTGCTTATAATGTATTAATAATCTAAACTGTTGTTTTCTGTTTCAGTCCTCTGATCTGTAGGACGAGGTTGATGCTGATTGCTAAAGTAGCCTAATGATTCAGTGGGAGCACCCCTCTTGTCTTTACGAGGCTCTGTAGAAAATGCCGTCTGTAGGGTATTTTAGTATCTACCATTAATGTCCAATTGACATCATATCCAGTGAGTGAGCACACAGATAATATTATTACAATGCTCTTCAAAATGCTGATCGACCATTCATGTCTTGTTGATCGGGACATTTTTCCCTTTGAAGACCACTTAGAAAGAATGGACGCAGTTATTAGAGTCAATATTTCCATTGCATCCTGTGTTATATTATCGTATATCATCGGGTTTAATCATTTTATGTGCCTTTTGCTTTTGTGTATTCTTGTCAGAGCAGGCAGTGCCATTGTTACTGGAAATCCATGGGGCAACCAGGGAGCACTTCTACAAAGTCTGATGCGGGTCTTTTGTATATTTATTGTCTCGATAACTAATAAACTACCAGGTATGTTAAGCCAACTGCACAGGAATTAGTAGTGCATGAAAATTACTTAACAAGTGAGCAGAAAACTTAATCCAGCCAAGGTTTATTCAAAGTGCATTTTCACACAGAAGTGCTAGTCCTAGATTGCTGAAAGTTATGTATTAGTACGAAAGTAAACTTAACTGAACCTACTGAAAGATAAACAGAGCAGGTACCACACCAGATGGCGCCCCGTCCCAACATGCAACACCTTCGCATTCCACGTAATTTGGTGTTAAGAGGTTGTGGTCATTTCACATATTTCTGTGAGATCAGCTTGGCTGAATTGACCAATGGTGCATTTTGTTGCCTATTAATCAAAGATGTGAATAGTTATTTATTCTTTCAAGAGTTTTGCTCATAAAAAATCCAAATTAAATTGAAAAGAGCACATTTGGAACATGATGGGTGATACTGAAAGGGTACTTGGAGACGTTACATATGTTGATGTACAAATTTGCTCTACAGCATCTCTCAAGATTTTTGTCAAGGCTCTTTGGGTTTCTAATTACTGGTTCCTTGTAATGACCTAATGATGAAGGACTTCTAAGGGAAAAAACGATTTGGAAAAAACATCAGTGACTTGGCTAAAAAGAAAATTAAATCACCAGAGCAACATGTTTCTACACTCCTTTGGAAAGGCTGGAAAAGTAACTAAATATATTGGATTCAGGGTGTAAAAAGCTTTTGGAAGTGGGCAACAGTTGACACCCAGCCTCTGAGTTGATTAAGGGGAAGGCATTATATTAGTTTTCAGTCAAAATACTGACTTCCTGTAATAAATGATGGCTTTAGTAAGCACTTGACTGAACCATCTGATAGTAGTTTGCTGAAGGAATTATTTTGAGAGTAAATTATAGTGAAGTTATTGACGTTTATGACACTGATAACTCTGATAAACTAGGCTACCTTTTAGACGACAAGTTGGGCTGGTCCTACCTTATTTATTAGGATACAAAACTAAATTACCACAACGTTAGATCATATCACATCATTGATATATTTCAATTACAAGAAACAGCTAGGGGGGAGTAACTTAAGTACCTTTAGCTTTAACCAAGACTAGTTGTGGCTATCTCGCCAGCTAGTATTAGCTTTATCTGGAGTTGGCTGTTTAGTTTGTTTTTTGCTGAATGTTGTAGTAAATGCAAATTTCACATGCTGTTTTCTTTTAACTTATTTTACTATATTTTTTACATACAGTTTATGAGAAAGATTACACTAACGTTACTCTCACAGCTGTCAATTCAATATGAAGCTAGCAGCAACTTAGCTTAGCTTAGCTGAAAATGGGGGAAATCGCCGCTCCTGGCAACCCGACCAAGTAACTGCTGCAATAAAACCCAAATTGTCATTTATGCACTTAATTTTTTGTATGTATTCAAAAGCTAGATAAAATGTGTTAATATGTGAGCTTCAGAGGTGCTGCTTTTTAATCTTGCACAGACCTAACTAGCTGTTTCCTGTCTTCATCCTAAACTAAACTGTCTGGTGGCACCGCACGCTGAGCTGCGGTGAACAAAAGGTTAACAAAAGATGCAAGAGGTGCGTGAGCCTGTCTGAGCATGTGCCGCTGCTGCTGCTGCAGTGAAGTAAAATGTGTACATTTGCAATCGGAGAGCAGAGACGCCGTGGAGGAGAAGCTGGGGGACAAATAGACGAGCAGCAGACAGAGCACCGCCGCGACATCCTGGACAACCTCCCCGGGTGATGTGTTTGATCCGCCGGCCTGTGTGCTGAGGGAGACATCGCAGAGCTTAATCTGAAGGTAAAAAAAAAACTGCACTGAGGATGAATCATGTCCGTCTGCTGCAGCCGACTGCTCAGCGACATGTAGCCAACATGTTAGGATTTAGGAAGCATGAGTGGTTAACCACATATGTGTTTGTGAAGGTTTTGAGGGATGAAATATGTTGGTTTTCTTAATGTACTTCCTTATGTTTGAAATCCTTATCCTTAATTAGTGTTTGCAAGTTGATAGCTGTGCAAGCGTGTTTTTTTTTTAACTGTCCAAATTCAGTCCACTGTAATTAATGCAAAGTTAATAGCTGCACATCTGGTTAAAAACAGGATGTACTGCCCTTCAGTCGGCGTGTTTTTTATGCACAGTTGGGCTGTTACACCTGTTCAAATGTGGACAGGACCGGCGATGTAAAGCTCAGAAAGAAGAAGAAGCCTATGTGTTTAAATGTGTCTTGTGGATTTCAGTGATGCTTTCAGTAGCTCTAAAGTGTTCACAAATTCCCTTCGTCTTATTTTCGTGTGCTTTTTTATTATTATTTGTAGATAACCTTACCGCACTGCTTTAGGGGGAAGGACCCGTGATGCTGCAGCGGAGTCCCAGCAGCCGGGCCTGCGCACTGGCCCGTAGTTTCCAGGGACAAAATAAGATCATTTTGGACGTCTAGCGTGTTTAAAACCCGTGGAGTGTATATCCACAGATCCTATTCATTCCTGTCATGATTTAATTCCTTCAGCAGCGTCACATTTATAGTTGCGTTATGCAGAAAAAAGAAGCTTTATGTGACTGTTCGAAAATCCCTCATTAATTCCATATAAGGCCTGCAGTTCACTATCATTTGGGGGAGATAATCTCCAATGCTGCCTCAGCAGCCTATATCCCCCTTCAGCATTACACTGGCTGTATTGACATTTTGGACCTATTTATCACCCAGCCTTTACAGCAAGAAATCCCACAACGATACCATGACAGAAGCCACTGGTTTTAAAGAATAACATTCAGCCCACCTTAGCTGTGTGGACACTTTATTGACAAATTATTGTTGTTTTTAGTACAAGCCCACTGCCGGTCATAATGCACTTGTTATAACAGACCTTATAGGGTAAGATGACAGTGCTCGTTTGTAGGTTAAAGGCACATAAATTGTCATTGTTGAAGTGGAGGAGAGTTTTCCAATCCAAAAATGTTGGTGGGGAGCACAAATCACTTCAATGATTTGTAGCCAAACAAAAAAATATTCTTCACTGATGCAAATGTGTTAAAGTGAGTTTTGTGTTTGCTTTAGAAAAGGTCTCTGCACCTTTTAGACCCTCTCGTATGCCGACTTAACTTAGGGTTTATGCACAGAAACACTAAATAGGATGCTAAGCATTTTACTTTGTTTAAAGCAGGTGTCAGTGTAGCTGAAACCCTCTTTTGTTTTTCAAAGATCCCTCAAACCTTTGCAGAGCAGCCTGCATCAATTATGCATTGTCAACGATTGATTATAAAGCTTCTTTGTCTGATAACAGATTAACATGCGCATGCATCCCGCCATTAGAGGCATTGCCTTCTACAGAACCATGATGACCATGTCAGTAAATCTCCTGCTTTCTCTGTAGCTGCTCCAAGATTTCTAATCTACGTGGCATGACCCACATGCCATTCAGGACAGAGGGCTTAGCTCCGATGTCTTAGGGTCTTTCATTAAACTGCAAAGAGCTCAAGAGCTGTAATGGGTGTGAGGGGAGTAAAAGGGGGATGAGAGAGAAAAAGAGGCAGAAGAGGACACTTGCAGAGAAGATTTTAACTGTAAAGGTCATTTTGTTTAAAGGTAATTTTGTGGATATTTATTGGGTGATTAAGAGACAGACAGGCAGAGAAGTTCAACAGAAGACCTCCCTCCAGCAGATTATACATGTATAACTCAACCAAATAGATTAAAAGTCAGAGTTGATTGAACCACAGTGTGTTCCCAAGAGCAAGGCACCAAGAGTGAACAGACTCCACGCTATACTGTACGTCTGTATAATGTGTAGGTCTCATTTCCAAATTGATATCCAACATTTATTTTATTTTGCAGGTACCATGTACAGTTTAAAACATAAATGTCACCATTTGATGTACCTTTACAGGATTATAACTTTAAGATAATTTGCATCCGTTATCCCTTGGTACATCTAAACAAAGAGACGGCACGATAACATAATACAAAGTTAAACAAAAAGAAGGACATGTAATTTAAAGCTACACACAAGCTTGTCAAATAAAAGCAAGTCATGAAAACCACAGAAGTCAAGGTCAGTGAGTACAGAGCTGAGCAGCTTTTAACAGACTTTTGAAGCTGGTTTTTGAAGTTGCTGATAAAGCTGTAGCTCTTTACATTGTCATGCAGGGTGTTCCACTGATTTGTGGCTTCTACAGAAAAAACTGATTGCGCAGATACAGTGCGGCGAAATGTTGTATTACCGTCTCGTATAGAGGATATTCTTTAGGGTGTGAATTTACTGTCCACTCTGGGACTATACACAGTCACGTAGTGCAGGAGGAGGCCAAACCATGTAAAATGTTATTAACCAGGCACAAATTTGAAAATAATCTTAAAACTCTCATCAGTGACACCTGAAGCTGCAAGTGTGCTTCAGAGCTGAATGTCGGATGGTTGAATTGTTTCGGAACAATCTTCCCCCGACACCTTTCCAAAACATTGGGATGGTGGGGGGGGGGGGGCACTCTCTTAAAAAGGCTTGCCAATCAAGCCTTTGGAGAGAGTGCACCATTATTCTTGTATTAAAACAATGACGCGTCTCCCCTCCTCTAGATGACAGCCGGTATTTCACTCTGCCTTCCAGTGTAGTCAGTTGGAACAACCATAAACAATTTTGACCCACTTCTTTTCTAGTATATCCAGGCCCATATGCTTATACAAGAATTACACATGCACCAATCATACCTTTTCCTCTCCATCCAAATACTTCTAGTCAGGATATTGACTGATACAGAGTTGCCCTGTGATATTTTCTTAATTTTCATTTTGTTCCTTAAAGGTTTCCAATACATGTATTTTTGTCGTTCAGTGAATGTCTCCTCACAGTCCGTTCTACGTGTGCGCTAAAAAAATGCTGAGCTCTGGCTCTGTAAATGGGAAACAAACAAAGTGGCTCGCACCCCGCACCCCAACACTATTCCAGCCATGATTTGTGTGTCAGGTAACGTTAAATGACTTGCCCACGGACATCCAGCTTACTTTCAAGTTTGCCAAGACAGGCTGTTGTTGTGATGTTAGTTATAGTAGCACGAGAGTTGTGGGTGTCGCTGTCTGGAACTGCTGTGCTGGCTCTGGGACCGCCTCATCCTCTCTGCATGTTAGCTTCGCAGCAGCAACTGTAGTGATGGTTTGGTAACCCACAACTTAGCTAATTTAGTTAGGCTACTTGCTGTGTTGTTGTTCGCTCTATATCATGGTATTTTTCATGTTGTTGGATTTCTCCAGAATCGCATACTCCACCTTAAACTTTCACCAACATTTTTTATGCTTGTGTTTTTGTCAGGCCCTGAGAGAAACTATATTTATATTCAGCAGCATTTTTATGGTTTAAATGATAAAATAACACTTGAAACGGTAACAAATTACATTGTTGTAGAAAGTTTAGAAAATTCCATTGGAGGGGTGGATGATATGGATAAAATCTTGTACCATTGCTAAATAGCTTCCTTAGCCTCAACCTGTCAGGCCCCACACATGAACTGATAAGAAGTCTGACGAGGCCCTGCTCAGTCTCTCCCATGCATTATTTGAGTAAGTTATAGATACTTTTTATAGTTATTGCTGTTTTTGTTCAATTGAGAATGAGTTCTTTGATTTGAGTGAGATTTATTAAAATACCTTTGTTTTCATTTGCCTTTTAGATGATATGTCTCAGTCAAATAAAATAAAGGACAAACGGCTCTCATCTCTGGTCTTCATGCTTTAACTGGTGTGCTAATGCAGAGGCTTTTTAAATAACGGATACAACACAGTCAAACATCTACATCCAGGTTATACTTTCACCTTATATCACAATAGAGTATGTATCTTGACATAATACTGATAATTAAATTTAGAATAAATTTATACATGAATAACCAGATAGTAATAAGCACTGGGAGATTCTGATATGATACAACAATGTTCCTATTCTTTTGGGCCTTTTATTTTGAAAGTGGATACCTGGAAAGGGGCATTTGTAATGATAAACAAATCCCAGGAGATGCTGAATCTTAAATCACAGTACTGTGTGTATATATATATATATATATATATATATATAATTTCTTACCCAGATCTATTGCATTTAGTCAGTTTTCTCACAGTGACTGAGTAGAGGTGTCTAATTCCTGTTTTGTTAATTAAAATTGGTATCCAGATGCCAATACAATGGATTAAATCACTAACAAGGATTATTAACATGACAGGTCTTTTTAAAGGTTATTGTGTAATATAAAAACTGAAAGCTTATATTTTCTATGCAACGTTAAGGTTATGATTGTGAATGTGACAATAAACTTGATTAAACTTCAGATTGTATTTCTTCCAAATCAATAGAGCCTTTTGGATACAAACCCATCAGAGTGCAGCTCCCTCGGCTTGTTGCAGATGAAAAGGATGCCTTCTCTAATGTTAAATGAACCTCTACTGGTTGTGCTGCGTCCAGGCTTTTAGTGTCAGCCCTCATGGCGTCTCTCCAGCTCAGATAGAAACTGTACTTGTTGGTGATACTCAGATGCTTGTGTCTCTGGGGAAAGCTCTGGATTGGGGGGGTTGGGTGGACAAGGCTCTGCAGCAGGTGATTAAAACCGCTCAGAAGATCATTGGGATCATCTACCGGCCATTATAGTCAATGCTTTTGAGTCCACCAGACGGTAGGTGGACTATAGGTAGCAGGTCTATTTCAGCGTGCGGAACCAGGCAGGTAGTCAGACACAGAATGGCATAGAGAATCTGGTCAATTTTCAAAAAAAAACATCCTGTGGAGACTCCTAATCATAAAACAACAATAAACACGGTT